CCCCCACCCCCCCACCCACCCCCACCCCCACATCCCCACCCCCACCCCCCCCCCCACCTACACCCACACCCACACCCACACCCACACCCACACCCCAGACCCACACCCACATCCCATAGGTTAGAATACTAATCAAAATCAATCTGTTGAGCAAGTCAATGAAAAAATCGTAATTTACATCTTTTTTCGAATGTCCTCAATTGTTTTTCGATAGTCCAGAAGATCAGGATGATTTGAAGGCAACTTTTCTTGAGCTATTTTTACCGCTTTTTGAACATTTTTCATTGCCATACTATATTTTCGAGTGGAGAAATACAATTTCGCCAAATTGTGATAGATCACACCTAAATCAGGATGGTTCTTTGGCAGTTTCTCTTCACGTATTTGTAGCGCTTTTTGAAAACATGTCAATGCCGCTGAATAATCGCTCATTTCTCGATAAGTTTCGCCTAAATTTGTATATGTCGTAGCACATTCCGAAGGATCACAACGAATATTTTCTTGAATATTTAACGCTTTCAGATGGAATGAACATGCTTTTTCGTAATCTCCCATTAATCGATGGACATCACCAATATCACTATATGTAATAGCCTGATAAGGATGTCCTTCGGGTAACGTTTTCTGATCTATTGCGAGACACTTTTCAAAATAATCAAGTGCCTTTGAGTAATCTTTGACATTGCGATAAACTCTTCCATACCTACTGTATGTAGTAGCAAAAGCTTGATTACCTTCTTGAAAAGTCTCCTGTTGAGTTTGAAAAGCATTTTCTAGAGCCTTAAGAGCTGCAGTATAATTGCCCATGTCGTTATACACTCGTCCAATGTTATTGTAGGAAATAGCCATATCGGGATGATAGGGAGGCAGAGCCTTTTCTCGTATTTCCAGTGCTGTGTTGTAATAGTCAAGTGCTGTCGAGTAGTCACCAAGGTTGTTATGCACTTGACCGATACAACTGTAGCAGCTAGCCAAATCTGGATGATTCTCAGCAAGACCTGTTTCATAGATCTTAAGCGCTTTTTCGTAAAGTTCAAGTGCTTTTAAATAGTCACCCATATCTTCGTACACTGAGCCTATGTTTTTATAGGATGCAGCCAAATTGGGATGATAGGGAGAAAAAACTTTTTGAAAGATTTTAAGTACTCTCTCATAAAGTTCAAGTGCTTTTGAGTAATCACTCATGTGTTGATACACTTGACCGATGCAATTGTAGGAAATAGCCAAATCGGGATGATTCTCAGGGAGAACTTTTTCTCGTATTTTAAGTGCTTTTTCGTAAAGTTGAAGTGCTTTCATGTAGTTATTCATGTCGCTATGGATTCTGGCGATGTTGCTATAAGAAGTTGCTAAATCGGGATGATTCGAAGGTAGAGCTTCTTCTTTAATTTGATGCGCTTTTTCGTAAAATTCAAGTGCCGTTGAGTAGGCACCCATGTTGTTACACACAAGACCGATGTTATTGTAAGAATCAGCCAATGAGGGATGATTCAATGGAAGAGTTTTCTTGTCAATGTCAAGTGTTTTCTCGTAATATTCAAGCGCTTTCGAGTAGTCACCCATGTTGTTATACACTCCACCAATGTTGTTGTAGGTAGCAGCCAATTTCGGATCATCTTGCGAGAGGGTCTTTTGCTTTATCTCGAGGGATTTCTCATAAAACGAGATCGATTCTTTGTATTCCCCCTGGTTCCGTTTCACCCATCCGAGATGGTGATAGACATATGCTCTCTCATCGTAGTTAGAAGCGCTATTGAGTAATTCATTATAGAGTTCGTGAGCCAGCTTAAAGTGACCCATTTTGAGCATTAGTTTACCCATTCGATACCATCCACTAGATCCTTGAGTCTCCTCTCGCATGTGGTCAGTGAGGGCAGCTAGTTGTGGATCATCGTCATCTGTGAGAGTCAATTGGACATCCCATAGAAGATTATTGCTGAGCGTCTGCTTGATTTCATTGATTCGAAAGACAGCTTGAATTGAAAAAAGAATTTCTTTTTCTTGTGGAAACGCGCTGTAATCGTCAATAAGAGCGAATGGAGTAGTCGAAGCCGATAATTTACTCGAATTGACTGTCATAATAAAAAGAACACCGACGTTGTTTACATGATTTCGTAGTGTTTCTTCTACAAATCCCATGGCTGCTCTTTGCTCTTTGAGGAAAGTACAAAAATGATATTATCATCATACATGCATACCTTTAGTTAAGTTCTCACCAAAGTTATAGGGCTACTTCAAGCACATGGCCTTTTTATTGTGACTTTTTTTTGCGATATATTGAACAATAGTCCTCCATAGGTTTTTGATAGTCTACTCCCAGTTTCCATGTTGGAACTTCTAGAACTTCCTGGAATTTCTGTGTAGGTACTTTAAATACAGTACTGCTCAAAATTATAACAACAAGCCAGAGTTGAGCAAGTATGGACTATCTCGAATAGGCGTACGTTAGAGTGAGTTTCCTACGGTCTCACTAGAGAAAATTTCATTAGTAGTTTTAGAGATGACGGTTGTGCGTGTTCGTGTAAATTGGTGTGACTTAATGGGAATGAATGTGGGCAATTTTCAAATGTGTATTCACATCCACACCCTACCGCTAGACCGGGAGTATCAAAGTTGTGCTGAAGTGTATTTTATCGTTAATATTTGAGAGTTAATGGAAATATTGCTGTTGAGTCAAATAAAAAGAATTATATTTGACTTCTTTAAAAGAGATCTAGATTCATTGGGTTTCAATATCTGTAATGTCTTTCGACAACCATCTCTTTCAATTAGAAAACTAAACTTTAATGTTAACTATCACAGCTAATGCAGCTATTCATATTCTATTGTATCTTTGTTCCACTATCAAATTGGTATGTCCTGATTACTGATACTGGTCTTTGTATCCTCCTTGCACCATTATTTTTATTAATCACGTGACTATCCATCTGATGTTTAAATAAAAATTGTTTTTGATAGGTGTCTCTTAAAAAACTGAAAAAGCTTGTGAGCGCAGCCCATTTGGAGCTGAAATGTGGAACTCACATATCTCCTTTGGTTTCATTATACTAATGACAAAATACCCAATATTTAAAATCTCCAAAAGATTGTAGTTATTTTCTAAAGATAATCGAGTATTAGAAAATGCTATATTTTTATCTCTAAATTTCGAACAGAAATTTTTTTTCA